TAGGGTTACAGAGCATGGGTGAGGAGTTACAAGCAGGAGCCATACTGGAAGGTATGATGCAGCATGATTGAAAACTAGGCCACAGCTTCAAGGATGCTTCCTTCCTAGTCCTTCCCAGCCTGTATTCTCTAGCTCCTCCTTAAAGCCATGCACAATTAAGGCAGAATTGCATACAGCTGGTTGGGAGGAGTGGCTAGATATACAGGTGAGGGTCCTATAGCCCTCCCATCCCTCCTAGGAGGGAATGTTAACAGTCAACAGGGCTCAGCTGTGATGATCTTTTGGATGTGGGCACACCTGATCTGAAGATGATGGCAGTTAGGCTTGGAAGATAGTCCTACATAATATACACATTGAATTTTTTTCTCTAATTTATCAAAGATTAGATCCAGCTACTTTGATGACATACACTTACGGGATATATACAATAATTTTAGTGCTAAATTGTTGCTAAAATTTTTTGTTTGATTTTTGAGAGAGGGTTTCACTGTGCAGCCCTGGCTGTCCTGGAACTCATTCTGTAGACCAGGCTGACCTAGAACTCACTGAGATCCACTTCTCTGTGCCTCCCAAGTGTGGGATTAAAGGTGTGCATCACTACTGCCAAGCCTTCCAAAATCTCTCTCTCTTTTTTTCCGTGACAGGGTTTCTCTGTATTGTTTTAGAGGCTGTTCTGGAACTCACTCTGTAGATCAGGCTGGCCTCGAACTCACAGAGATCCGCCTGTCTCTGCCTCCTGAGTGCTGGGATTAAAGGCGTATGCCACCAATGCGCAGCTATCAAAAATCTCTTAAAGGTGGGTATATGTCCTTTTTTTCCACTGTCACAAGCATATTGTGCCAGAAACATACATATTTGTGTCTTTTCACATCAGAATTTATTGACTAACTTCATTCACAAAGCTATTTGTATCATTAACTGCAACTTACCAAGTAATTTTGAATTCAAGAATGTGTTCCCTACCATTTATGGTTCCTTTTATTCCAGTATTAGTTACTGGTACACATTACCCTGTCATACAATAACATGTCTATGCAGATTACAGAATGACCATAGGAGAGTTATAGATGCTGCAGAGTGCTGAGATGCTGTCCTGAAGCTGAATGGACACAATCTAAATTCAAATTCTCCTGGGGCCATAAGAAGAATCTTATTAGACACAGGCTCAGAGTTGTCAGCACAGGCCCAGGAGTTTGGGCATTTCAAATGCTGAAGTGGACAACTGGTCACAGGATGGAGAAGCTGCACTGTCTTACATAAGGCTCATGACCATTGATGGGCCAAAATGGGGTACTCTGCACAGTTCCAGGTGTGGGTGTATCTGTTAAACACCTGTAGAGTCTCTGCTTTGATTTGATATAGTCATAGGCAGCACTGCTTATTCACACAAAACAAATGGTTTGTCAGCCGGTACATCCTGGTGCTCTGACAGACAGTAGTTGTTGACTTGTGTGAACACGACATCGAGTCATTTTTTCTTGGCACTTAGCTTCAACATTGTGCTGCACGGCCTGAGAGCAGCAATTGTACAGGAGTAAGCAAGGGTAGATTCAGACAGTTCTTACTTCCACTTGAATCTATTTGTTTAATCGAAGTCTAATGATTTTTTTTCTGTAACACAGAGTTTCTCTGTGTAGCCCTGGATGTCTTAGAACTTGCTTTGCAGACCAGGCTGGCCTCAAACTCATGGAGATTCACCTGTCTCTGACTCCCAAGTGCTGGGATTAAAGGCTTCCACCAGCACCACTACAGCAACAACCACCCAGAATTCTATCCTACAAAAGGATCTTTTTGTTTGTTTGAGACAGGGTCTCTCATTGTGTGGCCCTGACTGGCCTGGAACTTGCTTTATAGATTGGGCTGATCTTGAACTCAGAGATTGTGTATGTTTTTTTAAATTGCCAGATTTTAACTTTTTGTTTTCAAGGCAGGGTTCTCCTGTGTAGTTTTGGAGGCTGTCCTGGAACTAGCTCTTGTAGATCAGGCTGCCCTCGAACTCATAGAGATTCGTCTGCCTCTGGAGTGCTGGGATTAAAGGCATGCGCCACCAATGCCTGGCAACCTCTTTTTCCTTAAAGGGACTATGTCTCCAAATGCAATCACAGTGCATGTGAGGCACACAGTTTAGTCCATGACAGGACACTGCTTACTCCAAACTCCTCCTCAGATTTTCTCCAGTCTCCATTGCTCTCCTTCTCAGGAATAGGCCAGTGAGACTGGGTTTAAAGGTGTGTCCCATCATGTCCAGTTTTCCCTTCATTCTTCAGTGATGTTTTTCTTTTTCTTTTTTTTTTTTTGGTTTTTCGAGACAGGGTTTCCCTGTGGCTTTGGAGGCTGTCCTGGAACTCGCTGGGTAGACCAGGCTGGCCTCGAACTCCAGAGATCCACCTGCCTCTGCCTCCCGAGTGCTGGGATTAAAGGCGGTGCGCCACCAACGCCCGGCTTCAGTGATGTTTTTACACACAAATCTGACAACACTCTAGCTAAAACCTCTGGTGATTCTAAACCCTTTAGATTAGTGAGAGCCCTTATTTTTCTCCCCAGTTTGCCTTTTCACAGATTCGTGGTGCCCAACATGCTTAACCATATTTGTCACTGACTGGAACTGTTTCTCTTTGCTTCACAAATGCTTCCTCCCTTTCCAGTCAAGCAATAAATCATGGATACAATGCTGTTGCTTTTGGGCAGGACTGACTTGAACACAAGACCTTTTAAGGTGGAGAAATACTCTGGCAGTGATTAGGAAAGTGATGAGACAGGAGTAAAGATTGTCATACTTTCTAGGGAGATGCTAGCCCTGAAGACCTCACACATAATTCAGGACAAGTAAGCAAGCAGACAGGGAATGACCCACAGGTCTTTCTTAGGCAATGTCCAAACGTGCTTCCTGGGGAGAGTTTTTATTGGTAGGCTTAAAGTAAGTAGGCATGAATCCTGAAGTCACACTGTGACAGAGTGGTCAGTATGTCATACTTGCACAGCCTGTGCTAGACGTAAAAGGAAACATGGCCAGTCAAATGGAGGGCATCTGGCTGTCTATTAGAGAGATGGCCACTAGGCAGCAAGTTTAGAAGGTACAGCTGTGTAGAACCAACATACTGGGGAGTAGAGCTATAAAACTACAAACTGTTATGAGAGCACTGAAGAGGCTGGAAAGTTGGTTTAAGGGTAAGAGTATTGGCTGCTCTTCCAAAGGACCTGGGTTCTATTAACAGCACCCACATGGTAGCTCACAACTGCCTGTAACTCTAGTCTCAGGGGATCTGATGGGCTCTTTTGTCCTCCTTGGTATACACATGGCACACTAACATATACACAGACCAAACACCCATGCACATAAACAAGAGTTCAAGATGGGGGCGGCCGCGACAGACTACTGAAGTAGGGGCTGCAGAGCTGGCTCAGTGGTTAAGTGCACTTGGCTGCTCTTCTAGAGGACTAGGTTTTAATTTCAGCACCCACATGGAGGCTTAAAACCATATCCAACTGGTTGAGTGGTGGTAGCAAATGCCTTTAATCCCAGCACTTGGGAGGGAGAGGCAGGTGGGTCTCTGTGAATTTGAGGCCAAACAAAACAAAAGCCCGAACTGTAGTTTCACATCCAACACACCCTTCTGGCCTCCTCTGGTACCAGGAACATTCATGGTGCACATACATACATACCAGATAACACATTCGTGTGCACAAAAATAAATGAAACCTTTTAGAAGTGGCTATTGAACTCTATTTCTTTTTTTTTTTTTTTTTTTTGGTTTTTCGAGACAGGGTTTTTCTGTGGCTTTGGAGGCTGTCCTGGAACTCGCTTGGTAGTCCAGGCTGGTCTCGAACTCACAGAGATCCGCCTGCCTCTGTGAGCTGGGATTAAAGGCGTGAGCCACCAACGCCCGGCCTTGAACTCTATTTCTAGCATGAGAACATGAATGCCAAGCCACATAGAATTGTAAAGCTTTACTACATTAGCCAGATGTCATGATGCACACAGCACTTGGGAGGCCAAGGAGAGAGGACTGTGAACTGGTGGCCAGCCTCGGCTACGTAGGTGGGTGGCTCCCCATATTAAAGTACTTGCTGGCCGGGCGCTGGTGGCGCACACCTTTAATCCCAGCTCTCGGGAGGCAGAGGCAGGCGGATCTCTGTGAGTTCGAGGCCAGCCTGGACTACCAAGCGAGTTCCAGGACAGCCTCCAAAGCCACAGGGAAACCGTGTCTCGAAAAACCAAAAAAAAAAAAAAAAAAAAAAAGAAAGTACTTGCTGAGTTGAGTTTCTAGGAGCTATATGGTGTGAAAGTGCATGTATATGCATACAGAGTGGCCAGCCTATCTTCCTCTTAGGAAATCTCTAACCCTAGAACTCACCGATTCAATTAGGCTCGATCCGGGGGACCTTCCTATCTGCCTGCCCAGTACTGCTAAGTGTGCCACATTTCGTTTTTTGTTTTTTGTTTTTGTATGTTTGACACAGGATCTCACTAGGTTTACCCTGGGTGGCCTACAACTCACCAGTATGGCCTTGAACTCAGACTCACCAGCCTTGGCCTCAGGAGCGCTGTGATTAAAGATGCGTGCCAACACGCTAGGCCTAGATCCAGCTTTTTCCTTGGGTGCTGAGGATGGAACTTATATGGGGTGGGGAGCGGGGGGGGGGGACACGTAAGCAGTCATGGCAGGTCTGGAACACACTGTGTAGGGCCAGGCTGGCCTCAAACTCAGAGATCAGCCTGCCAGTGTTCCTAGTACTGAGGTTAAAGGCCTGCCCCCTCCCCCAGCCTGCTGGATGTGATCCCCATGTCTTCTTGTGCAATCGGCTCACGGGCGAAACCAGAACCTGGCGTAAGGCAGTCGCTCGAAAAGGAAGCTTGTTTTCTCACTACACACCCCAGCCCGGTCTTGCCTCCCTCCTGCCTTGGTGTGTTGAGGTTATAGGCATGCGCCACCTACTACACCAGGGGAGGCCACGGTGCCTGTGTACCCGGTGACACAAGTGACAGACAGCTGACTAACCGAGGGAGGTGGCGGGTCCCAACAGACAGCGTGAGGGCCCAGCGCCGGGGAGGAAGGGACACCCGCCTCGTCTGCTTCCAAGGCGAGAGAAGACCGCACGGGGATTGTTGAAGCTTAGCTTCGCGCCTCTCCTCACGCGAGAACGCGGCGGGACGCAGCCTAGGCGAGGGGCGATGACGGCGCGTGCGCGACAGGCTCACGTCACCCGCTCACGCACCACGTAGGCGCGCCCTCGCCCTGTGCTTCGCCCACTCCGCGCGCGCAGCTGCCTCCCGTCGCCCCGCCCCTCGAGCGGGCCATCTCTTCCACCCTCGGGGAGCCTCAGCCTTCTGAGTGGCCACGTGGGCGCATGCGCGCTCGCAGGACCGCCCTCCGAGTGACGTGAGAGCCCACTCGGAGCTCGCGGGCCGCAGGTTTCCCGTCTCCCGCAATCTGCTGTGATGGCTGCCGCGGTCCCTGGCGCCGTTTCCCTCTCCCCACTGCTGTCTATTCTCCTGGGCCTGCTGCTCCTCTCTGCTCCGCATGGCGGCAGCGGCCTGCACACGAAGGGCGCCCTTCCCTTGGACACAATCACTTTCTATAAGGTAATGGGGACTGAGGGTCGTGCGTAGGTGCAACCAGAACCAGGCGCCCGTGGGAGCGCGCGCCCATGAGGACGTTGGGCCCCGAGGGGTGGCAGCAGGCAGTCCTTAGGGACCACCCCTTGACATCCCACCCTCCTATAGGCCCAGTGTTGGCAGAGCGGGGGAGCAGGCTGACCACCCGGCACCCTTGCCTTTGCTTTGCAGCCCGGGTACTCGCTACCTCCTTTTACAAAAGAGCTACCAAGATGCAGCCAAGGGAACTAAGTGTCCCTTCCCTTTATCTATAGGGAAAAGACAATGCCGGGAGAGATCCAATCCACGAGTCCCAAGTGGAAGACCGAAGGGCGGGGCGAGGTCGACGCTCGGCTCCCTGATGGGGTGGGGGTGGCGAAGAGAACTCAGCAAGTCTGCTCCCCCTCTTTGAGGACGGCTTGTAGCCTGCTTGGCAATGTGCAAACCACGTTCACATAGCACGCGGACCCTTACAAAGTGCATGGGTTAAAAAGGGGCAGTTCTGCCACCTGTAGAGAACATCTTGGGGGCAGAGAGCGAAATTAACAAAAACAGGTCAGAGCACAGAAGAAGCTCGTTTTTCAAAATTTGGCATCCAGGTCTGGGTAAATGGATGGTGGAAATGTTGGAGGCTAAATGCGGTGGCCTCTGTGGGCCCAGAGTCTGTGTTCATGCATCTGTCTCCAGCCACCAAAAGTTCTCACTTCCTCTATTGGGCAAGCTAAGTGTGGAGAGAAGTAGTCCATTTTCTTATTTTGTTCTCATAGTGAGGAACCAAAATGCAGAAGGGAACTCTAGATGCGCCTGTCTCGAGTGGCTGGCCATGTGTAATTTGGAAAGGACCTTGCATGTGTAGCCCATTCAGTGTTGTTCATAGGAATAAAAAAAAAAAAAAAAAGGAGCTGGCCATATTATTAGTCATTCATTCAACTCTATATAGAGATCGAGTAATACAGCAAGCAGTCCAAGTGCGAATAAAAGGTCCGTTTAGCATTGTAAGTTTAATGAGTAGGTGCCTCCCTGCAGCTTGAGACCCCACTCTACTAACAGGCCCTATAGAGAATGCCTCTTGTTCAGTCTGCTCCAGTCGGCAGAAGCCTCCTGACTGTCCCTAGCTCACAGCTGTTAGTAAGTCTGCACTGTTCCTTGTGACTGGAACATTCTTTGCCCGGTCTTTGAAATGTTACTTTGCATCGTTCTGTCTTAGGTTAATTACCCTCAGGTAATATTTACAATTTTCTCAGGCCCCAGGCTTAAGTTCAGTCCTGTTTCTCTGTCACTTTTTTTTAACTCAGCGTTTTCAAGCAGGGCAGTGGTGGTGCACACCTTTAATCTCAGCAGGGGCAGGTGGATCTCTGAGTTTGAGGCCAGCCTGGTTTACAGAGCGAGTGCCAGGCCAGGCTCCAAAGCTACACGGAAAAGCCCTGTCTGGAGGGAAAAAAGAAAACCACGCTTGTCGGTTTTAAATCTCCCATAGTAGAATATTATTGCATGCCTATGAAGTACCTGATCTGTCTCTCTGACTCTCTGCACAGCATACCAGATTGTTTATTGCACATCTAATATGACAGTTGATCTGGTGTGCAGTGTTTACAGGAATGAGCAGTTGTCTTCCCTAGTCTTTTCCAAATTGCACTCCTCTGAAACAAGGGGCAGTTCCTAGTGTTTTGCCAGGAATCTTGTTACATGCTTTGCCTTTCAGTGATTTCCAACTCAGAAGAAAATTTTCTGTTATTTTCTTGACCATCACTAGAAGATTTCGTTAGATGAGCCTCTATGTGTTCACTGCTGTATTTGTTTAGAGTCATGTCTAGTGCATTATGGCTCCTAGCAGCTTCTTATTCAGTTAACAAATAGATAATTTCAGCCAGTCAGTGATGTCACACATATACCTGGTGAGGCAGAGGCAGAAAGGTCATGAGTTCAAGGCCAGTCTAGGCAACCTAATGAGACCTTGTTTTACAAATGCCAGTGAAGGGCCCATGAGATGACTCAGCAGGAAGCTGACCACCAGAGTTCAGTCCTCCGGCCCCACATAGTAAAGGAGAGACTTGACTCCACAGTTGTCCTCTGTTCTCTGTCAGTATTATGGTACCCACATGTCACACACATATACAACGGCAGCACTGCATCCTGTCAGCTAAACTCTATCCCAGTGTCCACCTGCTCTGTGATTACTATACTCTGTATTACACATGTGGGCCCCGGCAGGAACCCTGTGTGTGCTTTTGAAACACCAGCCTGCTTCTACCCACCGTGACTCAGAACCATGCAGCGTCAGCTCCCCAAAGCCTGCTAGAGCTCTATTCAGAACACTTCTCAGAGCGTCTGCCATACAAGGAGTGCACCAGAACGCAGGCCATGGCCTTATCCTTAGAGATGCAAACCCTACTGGAAAGGGCAGAGATAAGCCGATAAGACAGTTTCAGAGTGAGGTGAGAGGGTAAAGGAAGCGTAGTAGGTGATTGTACCCTTCTCTACACTAAAAGGAGACGTGTAAACTGAGCCTTGAATGACAGGCAGACAGAAGAGAGAACCCAGAAGAGGCTTCTAGACGGCAGGTTGAAACTAGTATTGAGCAGAAACAAGGCCAACTGGGCCACAGGGATATGATCCAATTTATATTTTCAGTTTTCCCTGCTGTTGAGCCCTTAGAGCTCTGACCTTTTGATGTCACAGTATCTGTTCCAGTGGCTTCTGTCCTTTGTATCCCTAGGCAGTGTTTTGTTTTTTTGAGACAGGGTTTCTCTGTTTAATAGCCCTAGCTGTCCTTGAACTCACAGAGATATGCCTGTCTCTGCCTCCCGAGTGCTGGGGTTAAAGGCGTGCGCTTTTGTTTGGCCTCTCTGCCTCTAATGATGGCTTGTGATGAAAGTGTGACAGTTTGGGACTGCTAGACTGCCCGCATGAAAGGTTGGAGACTGGGGAGAGGGCATAGTGGATAAGAGCAAGCACTGCTCTTGCACCATGCCAGGCAGCTTACAGCCTGTAACTCTAGCCAGGGGATCAAACGCCCTCTTCTGGCCTCCTCGGGTACCTGTACTCAGATGCACATAGCCACACATACATAATTTAAAATAATAAAAATTGTTTTGATTTTTTAATTTGAAGATGGGTAGGCAGTATTACTGATCAAAACTAGTCAGATAAAATATGTGCATTGAAAGAAGACACCAAAAGGAAGTCTTGGGCTCTAAGTTAAATGTACTTCCGTTATGACCCCATTGTTCCCAGTAAACCAGAGGAATGGAATGTCTGTGCTCAAACAAAACATGTATGTGAACCTTTAGGGCAGTGCTATCTACAATAGCCAAGAGGAAGGAATAAATCAAGAGTCCATCAGTTGATGTGTGGTTTATTTGGGGGGAAATGTCAAAGTACTAAGCCAGGCTACAGTGATGCACGCATGTATCCTTTGCGCTTGGGAAACTGAGACAGGAAGATCAGTGTGAGCCAGCCTGGCTACATAGAGTGTGAGGCCAGCCTGGCCTACAGAGTGAGTTCCAGGACAGCCAGGTCTTAAACAGAGAAACCCTGTCTTGAAAGGAAAAAAAATTGAGAAAAATTTATTAACTTTACTACAATTAAAATCCTGGCCTCAACAGGCAGAGATGTAGCTAAAGGGAACTCTGGTCTTAGGAGATAACATTGACCCAAGTCTGGCCTCTTGCCAGCCTGACTTGAAATGCTCAGTTCAGTTCAAGCTCTGGCCTCTATGGCCAAAGCACTCTGAGTGTTTGGGCTTTAATGAGAAAGACCCCTGAGACGACAGGCATTGTTGAAGGACACTTGAGGGAAAGGCCTCAGCTGTTTTTCTTGAGTGTACACACATACCCAGTGAGATACCCAGCAAAGGAAGCATGTCCTAACCTTTAGAGGAATCCGTGAATGGTAGCATAGGACAACAGCTTGTCTCCTGTGTAGGCTAGCTTCCACTCAGTTTCTTAAACAGGGGTCCCCTGGGAAGGGGATTTAGCCCTAAAGGTCTCTCAACACCCAACTTGCTCAGCTCTATGCACCCTCAGGTCATCCCCAAAAGCAAGTTCGTCTTGGTGAAGTTTGACACCCAGTACCCCTACGGTGAGAAGCAGGACGAGTTCAAGCGGCTGGCTGAAAACTCGGCCTCCAGTGATGATCTCTTGGTGGCAGAGGTGGGGATCTCAGGTATGGACAAGTCCAGGATGACTGGGGAGGGGAACTATGAGGGAAGGAAGCTAGGGCTCATTTTCCTGCTGGGAGGGGGAGTACCCCTTGAGCCATTTCCTTGGAGAAATTGGTTGTATGATCTGTTAGCACCTAGGGCCTATAGCAAGCTTAGGCAGTTGTTGCTGGTGGAACCACAGGGATTCCTCCTCTTCCCAAACATTCACTTGTGTGACTTCCCTTGAGAACCGAGTCTCAGTCCTTACAAGGCAGGGGACGAGAGGAGTGCCATCCCCTTGTCTTCATGTCAGCTTTTATGCCAGTGTTGGGTTCTGGCATTTAGCAGAAATGACCCAGTGCCAGCACTAATCGATGGGCAGTTGCTTCTACATACAGCCATGGTCTCAGCATCTAGTGGTTATAGTTGAGAGATCTGTA